TGAGTGTATTAAGAGATGGATTGTAAGTGGTCTTGGGTGTTGCTAGTAATGATGTTGGTCTCTTTAGGAGAGGGGTGTTGGGAGGAAGAGAGAATTGCTCTCTTGCAACTTAAACATTTCTTTCCTAATCCTTATGGTCTTTTTCACAATTCGGTGGCTTCAGAGTGTTGTGGATGGGAACGTGTTGCGTGCGACAAAAACACTGGCAGAGTCATCAAACTCGATCTTTCTTTTGCAAGGGATTCGAATTTGAAAGAGTATCTAAATGCTTCTTTGTTTTTTCCCTTCCAACAACTATAATCCCTTGACTTAAGTTTCAACAATATAGCTGGTTGTATTGACAACGAAGGTCAATTGTCTTCCTCCCTTCAACTTTATTATTTCTACATTTAGGTTCATATTTAATTTCCTGTAATTTCTTTGCATCTAGCTAGTATCATATGATTTTAATAAAATGATTTCACATTATTAAAAATTCCTCAGAAATCTCTCATTTACAATTAAATTTGAGGATATTTACATATTTTCAAACTCTTAAAAGTTATATTCTTAATAGATATTCAATCAACTGGATTTATCTGCATAAATTCAATCAATTAGACTTGTATGCATATTTAATCAAAATATTGGAAAAGATCCCCAAAAATATTAAAGTTGGAATTTTACTTTTACTTATTGATTTATGTTTTCAATATTTTGTGATACATTATATGATAATATGCATGAAACAATTTATTCGATTGAAAATGATTGAGTATTTGTAGGTTTGCTATCAAGGTTGAGTAACTTGGAGGAATTGGATTTAAGCTATAACAACTTCAACAGCAACATTTTATCATCTCCAGCTGGTCTCTCCTCATTAAAGTATTTGTATCTAAAAGATAATAGATTTAAAGGAGTTGTTAATGTTGAAGGTAATTAGCTAGTTTCTTATTATCTTAATTTCAACCATTTTTTTTTTTTGTGAATTTCTGGTAACTGGACTTTTAAATTATATATATGAAAGAGTTTAACCTTGCAAAATTGTTTAATCTTTTCCTACAATTACATTCTTTGAAGGTGTTGGACATGGTTTGGAATAAGATTTGACCAATTTGTATTTAATTACGATAGTCTTAACTTTTGTGAGACTCTTATATCAAGGGAAAACGTGAATACTTTTGTACAATTATTCTTATATTAAAAATGAAAAAAATATTTTTTTTTTATGTTAATGAAATATTAAATTAAATGGATTTTGACATTATTAACTAAAAAATGTAGGGTAAAATAAATTTCTTGTGTTCTATGAATTTTGTTTTAAAATTTCCAAAATATAATTTTTGAGTTCAATTTTTTTATATATGTATTTACTAATTTATCCTTATATTCATATTAATGTAATTATACATAGCTATTATGTTATTATATAATTATTTTTGTTATAGTAATTACTATATTAATTGACGTCAATTATGGTTATAGTATTAAACTATTTTATTTTAGGAATCATTTCATTAATTGCCTAATAATTAAGGTAAGTATTAATTACTGTATTCTTATATTTGTTTATTATTTAATTAATTGACCTAATATTTACTAATTTAACCTTATATTTATTAATGTAATTATATATAGCAATTATGTCATTATATAGTTATTTTATTTTAGTAATTACCATATTAATTCACGTTAATTATGGCTCTAGTACTAAACTACTTTATTTTATGAATCATTTAATTAATTGACCTAATAATTAGGGTAGGTATTAATTACTTTATTTAAACATTAATTATAAGTTAATATTATGAATTTAATAGAAAATATAAACACAATTATCTTAATATATAAGTATATAAAAGAAAAAGAAAAAAATAATGATTACCAGTAGTGTCGATCGCCAGTGACCGGTGCCGGAAAATAGCAAAGTCACCTGAGAGTGTCCGATGACACCGCCGGCACCAGAGTGTTGCTCGCGAAACGATCTATCGTTGTATGTAAGAATAATTAGCAAATAAATTATGTTTTGGCCGTACGTTGAGAAGAAGATAAGGGTCGCCGTTTCTCTCTCCTCTTCTTGTGGCCAAATGCTGCGTTTTTTTTTTTTTTTTTTTGGTGGGCATAATCTAGATATGTAGATCGTTACAAGAGTGTCGTTCTGATATTCGTTTTGTCTCCGAAATCACTCCATGACGTCGCAGGTCACCAGCCATGGGTTTATGTTGTTGAAAATGATTACCAGCGTTGGTGACCATTGATTCTACCGGTGTAAATACTCTTTTAATATATTTAATTATTAAATATAATAAAAAGATTTTTAGATTTGTTTGTAGTATAATATTGAAGGTAATTAGCAAGCTTCTAATTCTCATAATTTCAACTTTTTTTTTCACAATATAATTGAACTGTTTAAATTAAATATATAAAATTGTATAATTTTGTAAATTTTTTTTACTGTTTCCAGGTTTGAGTAACTTGGAGTTAATCGATTTTAAGTGGTAACAAGCTCAACAATAGCATATTATCATCTTTGGGTGGTCTTTCTTCATTAAAATATTTGTATCTAGAAGATATTGGATTGAATGGAACTACTGATATTGAAGGTAAGTTTGATCAAATTCCTCATGTCTTCTTAGGGAGTTTTTAATTAACTTTGTTTCATTTTTTCCCAGGATTACAATCCTTGGAAGACTTAGAGAGGCTGGACATGAGCTCGAGTAGGATTGACAAATTTGTCAACTCCAAAGGTATTCAATTCATTCCACAACCATAGGCCCATAACTAAACTGAAGTAATAATATTTAATGACTTTATTTTTTAATACAAAGACAATATTTGAGACTGTTATACTAAGTGATGCATAGAACTGCTGTGTACAATTATTTTTATATTATCATTTTTTAAAATAAAAATGAAAAATCAAATTTTTATTCTGTTGTGTATTTGAAAATAGTTTTCGTATTATTGAAATATTAAACAACAATGTTGTAGGGTATAGTTTGTATATGAGTATTATCTTTAAAATCAAATGCATTTGACAATTTTAACTTGGAAATGTAGGGTAAATTAAAAAAAAAAAAAAAAAAGATTTTCTATGTACTATAAATATTATTTTGAAAATTACAAAACATAATTCTTGAGTTTAATTTTCTTTTTTTTTTTTTTTAAGAAAAAAAAGTTTTGAATCTTGAGTTTAAATCTTTAGACTCCAACTGTGGATTTTGAGAGTAAAGTTGCAAAAACTTAAAAGAGAGCTTGAGAGAGAACACGAAAGTTTCATTTACTAAAACTGAAGAGTACAAAATGTAATTGACTTTTTCTTTATACAAGTGAAGAAGTTTAGCTCTGTTTCTAGAAACAAAAAGAAGCGTGAGAGAGAAGACATTTATTAACTGACAAAAAAGGGCAGTGTTTTAGACTTAAGTCTAGATTTGCCTTACTAACACCTGCTAGCAAAATATTTTTATCATTTTCTTGAATTTGAAAAATATGAAAACTGAGTTTTAGAAACAATATATAATCTTATGGATTAAATGAATGAAACTTCAATGCACAATAAATTCCTATGTAAAATCATTTCCTTGTATCATGTTAAAGATTGTTAATTATAATTCAGTTTTTTAATTTACAGATTATAGAGGCTTGAAGAAGTTGAATGCCCTTGATCTAAGCGATGGTATTGAAACCATTGATGCAACTATTTTTCTACAGTCAACATTGAGGTTGTTCCCATCCTTAAAGACACTTGACCTTTCATTAAATAGTTTTAATCGAACAATGATTACTCGAGGTAAGAGATAAGTTAAAGTTATGTTGTTGAAACAAAGTTGCTGACAATTTGTCAATTACTTACCTAGCATCATTTAAATTTGTTGTACTGTTTTAACAGAGTTGGCCAATTTGACCACCTTGGAAGAATTGATCTTGGATACGACAAAGATCCATATAAGTTTTCTACAAGCCATTGCAACTTCTACTTCTTTGAAACATTTGTCAATGAACTTTTGTGAACTTAATGGCATCTCACAAGTTCAAGGTAAATTCAAGATTAGTTTCATTTGCATTAATTCATATATAAGATAATGTTTAAACTTAATCCTAGATATTAAAATTTGTTTTCAATTTGGGGATCAAACACCTCTTATTGTTCTCAATGATTAATCTGTTATCAATGAAATTTTTGTACATATAGAAAATTTATATTCTAAGTCAGATGTAGAAAAAATGAAATGTTTACAAAAATGAGATAAAATATTAATTTCTATACATATTGAAAATTAATTGTTCTTTTATTATAATATTCTAGATTTGGGAATTCTAAAAATGAGATCAAATATTTATATTTTAATCGACCATGCTTCTAATTAGCCTTAAATGTTGGCCATAAAGTATTGAGAAGAGTAGTAACTTTCCTTTTTTGGAATGGATTGGATTGAATTCATTTTACTATTTAAGTCCACCTCATTTAATCTTTAAAAATAACAGAAATGTGGGGTATTCTACAAAAAAAATAAGTAGAATGTGCAGTTGAGCTTAATTTTTTTTCTTTTTTGATAATTTAATATGGTTTTTAATTTCAAATTTTGGAACATTTGAGTTATATGAAAATAAAAAGAACTTTTAAACTTTATTGTTTTCAATAGGTAGATAAAACACTTACTGGTGTTCTCAATGATTTACATAGAATATGAACAAAATTTTATATGCATAGAATATTTATGTATATTAAATGGTAATTTTGCTTTCTATTAAACTGTGGGTAAGAAATTCCAAGAATATTTATATTTTATATTTTAAGAGAGTAAGCATTTACCTAGCCCTAAAATCTATATATTTGCCATACGTTATTCTAAGTGGAACTTTACTATTCAAGTCCACCCTATTTAATCCTTAACAATAACTTAATTTACTTTTAGAAAAGTTAATATGGTTTTTAATATAATAGTTTCATAATTTCAAATTTTGGAACATTTTTGCTCATGAATATTCACAAAAATTCATGTCAATATGTGTAGGTCCTATTGAATTCAAGAATTTAGAAAGTTTATTTATGAACTGGACTATTTTTAACAATAACTTTCGTCAAATCATCAGACCGATAACTACTCTAAAGAAGTTATCATTGCATAATTGTGGACTCAATGGCACATTACATGATCAAGGTTAGTGATTTTCTCACTCGTCTTTTTCTCTTCCATTGATCATGACTTATTCTTTCTTTTATGATTCTTAATGCCTTTTTTTTTTTAATTAGCATGATGCTATTAATCGCATTTATGTTATAAAATTAGATAAAAAAATTTGAAATTATAAGCATATCTAAAATATTATGCTACACAATAAAATCCACCGTATCAAAATACCATTTATTGTAATAATTGTATGTTGTTAAAAAAATGATGGCAGATCAAGAAATTACAAAAAGTCTGATTTTCATTATCATAAACAATAAAGAAAAAAGGAAGTTGATTCTTTTCTTAGATCAAATGGATACATTTGCAATAGATAAAAAAATATAAAGAAACAATTTACAAAATTTATGATTTATTACAAAAATCACTTACATTTTTAGGCTGAGGTGAAATTGAAAAGTGAGAAAATTGATATTAGACATATATATATATATCAGCTATAATGCTTTACGGGATACTTTGCCTTCGTGCTTAGCTAATTATATTTTGATAATTCAAGGAAATGTTTTATTTCAGGTTTGTGTGAGATGGTGCATTTAGAAGAGTTAAATATTGGCTACAATACTTTACGGGATACATTGCCTTCATGCTTAGCCAATTTGACTTCCCTTCAATCATTAGATATATCTTCCAATCAAATTATTGGAAACCTCTCAGGTTTGTGTGAGATGGTGCATCTAGAAGAGTTATATATTGACAATAATACTTTACAGGATACATTGCCTTCATGCTTAGCCAATTTGACTTCACTTCAATCATTAGACATATCTTCCAATCAAATTACTGGAAACCTCTCTTCATCTCCCCTTAAAGATATGACATCTCTTAGAGTCCTCCGAATTTCAAACAATCTCCTCCAAATCCCAATTTCACTCTCACCACTCTACAACCTATCAAAACTCAAAGAATTCGCGAGCTACAGTAACCCGATATATATAGAAACAATGCCACATTCTTTGACCCCAAAATTCCAATTAAATTCCATTTCTTTGTCTGGTTATGGATATGGTGCTACATTTCCAAGATTTCTTTATCATCAATATGATTTGCATTACGTTGATCTGTCTGACATCAAATTGAATGGAGAATTCCCAAATTGGTTGATAGAGAACAATACAAAATTGGGAGGACTTTATCTATCAAATAATTCTCTTTCTGGGCCTTTTTTATTGCCAACACATCCTCACATGAATTTATCAGTATTAGATATCTCCATCAATTCCTTCAGTGGACAAATTCCTATTGAAGTTGGCGCATTTTTCCCGAGTCTATGGGCGTTAAACATTTCCAGAAATGCTTTGAATGGCAGCATTCCCTCTTCTTTTGGAGATATGAGCTTATTGGAAATACTGGATCTATCACACAATCAGTTGTCTGATGAAATACCTGAACATTTTGGAGATATGAGCTCATTGATAAGTTTGGATCTATCACACAATCAGTTGTCTGGTGAAATACCTGAGCACTTAGCCATCGGTTGTTTGTCACTACAACATCTTGTGTTATCAAACAACAGTTTGGAAGGTCCTGTATTCTCCAAAATAATTAACTTGACAAACTTGGTGTCGTTATACCTGAATAGTAATAACTTCATTGGAAAGATCCTATAAATGTTGTCTAATTGTTTTTCACTATGTCGAGTGAGCTGTGAGCTGTGTCCATGACTGTCAAGTATATATGCCAGTGAGCTATGTAGTGATAAAAGTTCACGTGGGATCTGAAGAAAGGAAGGAAAAAAAGTCAAATAGAGAGATTTTGAAGTAGTTAATTTTGCGAATTCCACGTATTCTTTTGTGTAAACAAGATATAATATTACATTTTACAATTGATAAATTGAAAATTTTATGACATTATCCATGGTATAAAAACTTTAGCCAACCAACAGGAATTTATTATTTCTAATAATGTTAATGATCAACAGGAAAAGCAAAGCACCCAACTCTCTAGAATGAAGCTCNAAGCTCACTGCAACCTCCACCATGTTTACTTTAATTACTTTTCCTAAGTCATTGGGTTGATATCAAACCAAGTTGATTATAATAATCTGTATGTAATAACTTGGATTTAAAGAAAAACACAATCGATTACAAAAACAAGAGATAAAACTAACCAAGTGTTTCACTTGCCAATCTTGAAGATAGTTCAGATTTGAAGTTGGTACATGAAGCCAAGTTGTTCATGCATCATTAGGCAACATGGACTTTATTTCGGGTTCATAAATTTGATCATCACCATCAGTATCTATTTCAGCATTTTTATGTTTAGCCCTGAAAATATCACAGTCATGGCAAAACCAATCACCTTCAGGTACAGTAAAATAGACTATCATCACTGGTGCCCTAGCACACACTACACTTCACATGGGCACAAGGATCAAAAGGCCCAACTGTTGCATTTCCAAAATGATGGTAAACCTGCAAAACTAAAATATATTTAAAAATACAGTACTCATAGACAAAAAAATATTTGGCATCTGAGGAAAAAACAATATACTTCTAATGTCAAATTTGAATTAAAAATCCAAAATCAAGCATTGCATCAAACTCTTTTCTAATGTCCGGAAAAAAAAATTTGGCAACTACAATTATCTTTGACCATGCCAAAATTGATATATGATATACAAACTAAATTTTTTTCAGGTTGAGCACTTAACAAACCCAAACCAAATTATGGAAATATGCAACCACAGAACAACTAACACCTGTAAGACTCACAGTCTCCCTTTAAACAAATGAAAGACAAATTCAGTGCGATGTTGTTTCAATTTTTCTTCATTTTTCAGCAAGGATTTCACCAATAAGGACTTTCTAAGATATGACACTTGTGTAATCAAATTTATCAGATATTAATAGCTCAAGTAATTAATGCAGATAAGCTTACATACTTGAAAATACATACCTGGAATGCGTGAACCAGTCCAAAGATTTCTATTAATTATCTAAGTGTTTCATCACAACCACCACTGCAGCCTAATCACATGTATAGGAAATTCAGCAAGAGATAAAAGCTTCAGATTCCACAAAACTATATTAATCTTTAAATATTGCCCGCTGAGTGAAAATAATAGTATGGAGTACGTACCTAAATGCATGTACTAAATGAAAACTATTATAATGAACTTCTAATTAAAATTAAAATAAAATAAAAAAAAAATTAATGAAAGCACCTTATACCATTTGATTTCAAAATCTCCTATGCTTAAAAATTAATGACCTTCTAGCCACAAGTGTTGTTCTAATTCAATAGGAATGCCACTGCTGTTATTACAAATTTAATTAGTATCCCACCTCTTTTTTACTACCCACCACAGAAGAAGGCTTCCATACAAACTGAACTCTTGAGTCCTGAGAGCTATCTCAAAATAAGCAAAACTGGAGCACTCACCATAATCCTGTCTTATATATCATAATTTAACTTCTCCATGATTTGGGCCATTCGAGGATGTGATTCATCTCCGGCAAGAAGTATGTGCACTTTGTTTTTGACCTCAATCCAACAACAGTCGGGGCTCTCCCTCAAACCCATTGCTTTCATCATATCTCTTTTTTATCATATCCCTCAAGCATTTAATTCCATTCCTTGGCTCTGGAATTGCCTAAAGACCTCCAGTGCATTGTGAACAAGACCATTCCTACAGAGACCCGTAACAAAAGCACTGCAAGCACTTACATCCAAATTTTCCATTTCATGAAACGCTTTGGACATCTTCCACGTACACTCACACTTTAAGTTGCCCACAGCGTACATATCAATAAGTGAACTACTAACGCACTTGTTCTCCAATAAACCCTCCTTAATCACAAAACCATGAATCCGAATCCCAAGTTTGGGATTCTTCAATCGCCCACAGTGGAGAGAACACTAGAAACACTGTCCTCCTCAAGCGTAAATCCTTCAAAATGCGTCCTTTGAAACAAAAGAACTGCCTCTTCATAATGTCCACTATGATTAAACCTTGCAATCATACCATTCCAAGACAACACATTGGGTTCGACTCTTAAACGACCCATCTCGTTAAAGATTTTTTCGCTACATCCACACACCCTTGTTGCGCATAAGCCACAAGCAGAGCACTAAAAGTTTTCACATCCGGTTGGGATAATCTATCAAACACTTTGTGAGCGTCCCCAATGTTCTGACATTTAATGTACATATAAATCAAAGAAGACTGAACAAACGAATCTAAATTAAACTTGTATACAAACACCATTGCATGAACTTGTTTTCCAGTTTCCAATGGCGACAATCCCGTGCAAGCCTTAAGGATATTAGGCAACAAGTAAGTATCAGGTGCCAAACTGTGAGAGAGCATTTAAGGGAATACACGGAGTGATTGAGTAAAAAGATTTTGTTTCGAGTGGGCGTAGATAAGAGTAGAGTAAGAAAAAGTTGTCGGCTCAAGGGTAGAAGAAAGGATTTGGTTTGCGTCATCGAAGTCTTGGTGATTTGCATATTGAGACGGAAACTCTGTTGCGAGATCTATGTGACGCCGGTTTTGAGAATGTGAGCATGCGCTTGCTTTGTCTATGATAGAGATGAATTGAGTGAGTTGAGGGTATGAAAGATTGAGCGTTGAATGTTTTCGAAGTGAGGAAGAGCTTGTTTTCGAAATGGAGCATTATGCCTGCAGTAGATAAATTACATCATCAAATGAACCAAATCATGGAGAAAAATGCTATGCAATCGCCATTTTTTAGAGTGGTTTTATTCACCCATTAATGGAATAAAAAACCCCATTTTTTGGTAATTTTTGTAATTACAAATTTATCTTTGCAATNCCGGCTCCTCCCATGCCAACAATGGGTATTACAACAAAATTATTGTCACCTGATTCACATGTGGACATCATATTGATTATTTTGGCTTTATCCCCATCTCTACCATAAACAGCAGGTTCAATTGGCAGACATGTGGTGGGTGGAAGTCTTTGCCGTTCAGAAGTTGATGACCCTCCAGCAATCTTCTCCAATCCAAGATCAATTCTTTGCTTACATAGATCGTCCATCCGGCGAGTGATTTCTTTCATCTTGGACCCCATGCTAACATTGAAGTTGATAGCACTTAGGCTCCAAGTATGGAAGCAAGCAGGGATGAAGCTCCGAACCTTACTAGTGCTAGCCTGATCTTCCGCCACCAACTTGTTCCCTAAAGCATCAGTTGCAAATTCATCCAATATATCCTCCACATCATAGGCCAAATCTCGGAGATCATCCAGCCACATCTTCACAGCCCCGTCTGTCAGTTGCTTCTCCTCTGCGTCGTGGAGCACTGCTTCAATCATCTTCAACGTTTTTTTCCACTTTTTTAGCTTAGAATCGACCCCCTCCCGACGTGCAAAATTCAGCAACTCCCTGGACGCCAGTCTGTCGAACAGCACCTGAAGGAACGCGGACAGAAAGAGCTCTCCCACAGGCATGGTTTCGTTTTTGAAGAAGAACAATAACTAAAGATTATCACACAGAGATTACTAAAGAACAAGGAAGAGATCGAGATTTTTTCTCTGATTCTATGGAAGGCCGTGTGAGTTGTTCGAAAGAAAGGTACAAAACGATGATAATTCTAGAGTATGCGTAGATTCCACTCCACAATAATAAAGTTGATACAGGCCATTACTGACTAGTTTTGCCGGCATTTCTTTATTATTATGATTTTTAATATTTTTAATTGCTTCCAGGATTTGCTGAAATGAAGCCTTAAATTGTATTGGGTTTCGCGGTTAGTACATAGCACTGTTGGGCTTGGGTTTCCCTCATGTGAGGGTGGCCCAATAATTGAGAGAGAGCCCAATTTTAGTTAGAAAGCCTCTTTTGTTTTGAATGGTGGAGAACGGTAGAGATTGAATTTGGAGTAGATTTGCCACAGTAAGTTTTGTGTGAACAGTAATTCTGGTTGGTGAAATTTCTCCATTTTCTTGAGAAATTGTTAGTGTCCAAGAAAATTTGTTCTTGAGATTGATGTTGATTGTTTGCCTCTAGTTTTATCTAGAGAGAACTACTATTCTACAAGAGTAATGTTAGGTCTATAACCCACTTTGATAATCTTTCCTCACAACTCATGATGTCACAGTTCATAATTGATTAGTTCGCAAATAGGTTCCAAATCATGTCTGCTTATTTGCTAATTGATCAATTACAAATTGTCACGTCAAAGGTTGTGAGAGAATGTTGTGGACTTAGCATTATACATTGTACAACCGTTTTGTTGATGGTGGAAATTTGGGTGACGGAATGCCATGGTTTTTACCTCTGGAAGGTTTTCCAAGTAAAACTTGATTGTGTTGTTGTCGTGTATGTTTTACTTTGAACTCTACTGAATTGCTTTCTAAATGATTCACACAAAGAGGGAGATTGGGTGGTCTATTTTTCCCATCAAGCAGACAAGCACCGCACAAGTCGAATGAATTAGAATTTTTAAAATGTTCTTTCCACTATTTCAATGTTAATTATCCTGGTAAAACATCTACTTATATTGAAAATTCATTAATGATAAAAATATGTATCACTTCAGAAAATTAAGTAATAAAACTCTAATTTTATAAATTATAAGATTTACATCAATGCCATAGCATTTTTTAATGATAGTATTTTTCTAATGAGATTCTCCGGGATATGACATTGATATTTGATATAAATCTTATAAAAGAGAAACAACTTTTTCCCACTCAAATAATGGTTTAATGACACTCACCCACCTACAGACTTTTAAAATATTATTTTACTACCCAAATTTATATTTTGTTTCCTATTCCAACATTGTTGTGATCCCATACCAACACCATTTTCTATCCCGATCATCACTCACCAAAACCCCTTAAACCATACTACGCTAGAAATTGAGCTATTAGGGTTTATGCAACTATCCCTCTCAAGTCAAATTTCAATCAATCTCAACCACCAAAAGACTCATCGGCCTTCCCTCTTCAAAGCTCCAACAGTCTACACCGAGTTTGCTCAAAATTTGCCGCTAGAATATAAATTTGGATAGTAAAGTGGTATTTTAAAAATCTATGGATGGGAAAATGTCATTAAATCATTATTTGGGTGAAAAAAAGTCCTTAACTCCTTATAAAATTAGATTTTTTATGAAAAAAGAAGGGAGGGTTGTCACTCATGCATGGGTCATGAACAAGTTTATTTTTATTCCAATTTCAGTTTTAATCTTTTTTATGTAAAAGTCGTTAACTCCTTATAAAATATGTATATATCTTGAGTTCACTAATGTATGATCAACTTCAACTTTATTCCAATTTCAGTTTCAATATTTTTGATGTAACTCCAAAAGTGAGTCAGCTGCAAGAAAGCCATTCGCACATTGTTGAACAAGTTTTAAAGTAGGTAAATCATCGGAAAAGGTCATGTTCTGGAGGCGGAGAACCACTCTCGCAAAACTTGATTATGCAACCTGCTGACGTGCAAATTTCTTGTAACCGATGATTGATCTCCTTCTGCTTCTCCAAATCAGTGGCATAGTCCTCAAAACAAATGATTGTAACTCTCTCCAAAAATCTTGCATTCTCAAGCACACATTTTATGAAACGATCGTCCATGACATCCAAATCAAAATATGAGATACTAACAGTTTTGAGGGAAGACGTTAAACAGAGCGGTAAATCTGCCAAAAAGGAATGATATCTCGGCAGTAGAACCTGCATAAAAATTGCAGCAAATTTTATTACTTCCCGAAAAGGAGGATATAGATTTTGGAAATTTTAATTTTAAATAACTACCTGAGGAATCTCAAGAGATTCTAGATTAGGAGATTGTTGAAGAATAGTCTTTAACACTTGATGATTTGTATAATCAAGCTCCCCCCAAATCAGTTTCAAATGAGACAAGCAATGAAATACTGGAAGACGAAATTGGAAATTTTCTTCATAAGAGAGATACTACTTGGCAAACACAAAAACAAAAGAAATTAATGAGATAAGTTGTTCATGTTATGTCTTCTCAATGAACATAAATAATTAGCTAAAGAATGTTATCATATCTCAAGTATATCATTTGACAGAGTAGGAAATTTGACATGATGAATTCCAAGCATGAGTTTTATTGCATGTCGAGCCATAATTTCCTTAGCCCACTGTTTCGAAATTTGTTCATCGATGTATGCATAATTTAGTGAAGACAAATGACATGGTAAAAGTTCTATTGCTGCACAATTTATGCATTTGAGAGAGCTCAAATTTTCTGCATAAATTTCTATAACATAATCCTCTAATGGCTTTAAAGAGGAAAGTTCGTGACAAACAACCAATGTCCTTAGAGTGGGAATAGATATGATGATTTTCTTACAGTTATTCCAACTGTCTATGTGTAAAGCCAACTATTGGAGGGCTGGACAGCCAGAGAAAAGTTGTTCGAGAAGTCGAGCGGATAGACCACCTAGAACTCGTAAACGCAAAGTTCTAAGTTTCGGGAGTTGTATGGATTTAGGAACCTTGAAACTGAAATTCAATTTCAATATGCTAAGTGATTCGGAAGTAAAAAGGTCATCAGGCAACATTTGTGAAACAGGGAGAGAAAGATCAAGCTCTTGAACCTTAAGATTTACTGTAGTAGAGACCTATGAATTAACACGAGATAGACCAATACTCTTATCCTTCAAAATGAGACTAAATTTTCTTATACATGGAGCACTATGAAGGAAGAGAATTGTTTCTAGAGAATGGAAAAAGCCTGTCTTCAAATCTGGCCTCGATATTTAGTCTCATAAAAAACAATGTCAAAAATGGAGGTCAGAAGAGATTTCCATCTTTTTGACAGTGCTGAAGACTGATTCAATCTTCTAAACCTTGTGAGAACAAATCAAGGCGAAACCCTAATCCTCCAGGATGTTTCAGCTAATGTCTTTCACTGTTATACACTTAATATAATTGTATTAAAAAAAAAGAGAAATTGAAGAAGAAATCTCATCTTAATCACGAAGAAATAACTCGGATTTGTCCTGTCCTTCTAGGATGAAAAAGAGACCACAATCCTGACAACTTCAAAGTTCTACCCAGACGGGATTTAATAGAAAAAAAAAAAAAAATACAGTATATAAATTGGTGCAGAATTTGGATAGGCACTAGATACGCGGGCACTAGAGAATCCAAGACAAAAGGTTCCAAAGAAAAACTTTGTAAATTTTATTGTTATGACCCTATTTATAGTTGACTAATCCTAATACAAATTAGACTCCTAATAGAATAAAATCAACTTGGAATAAAGGATGAAAAATAGGAAAGCTTGTCCTACATCATAGACATGATATCCTGGTTGAACTTCAAATTCTTATATACGAATATTATTATAAGAATAATCCTGGTTTTTTCGGAAAAACAAACAGCACAAGGTCACTAAAAGAAATCTTTCTTCAAAGCCATTTCCTCGCCAATATCTGTACCCCAGGGTGAAACAAGACGACACTCAATCTGCAATACAGTTCAAAATCCAAGGCTATCTGTGGTTATTCTGCTTCTGGATGGCACTCCACAGGTATTTAATTATTTTATTTCAGTCATTGAATTTGTATTTATGCTTCTTGTTTTTTACTGTTTATTTGACAGTTCTATTTCTTAATTGTACGTCCATTTGAGGACCAAAAGACAATGATGTATGCAACTTCTACTAGATGCGGTAATTTAATTCAATTTTAACTTTTGTAATTATCTCTGGAACCATCCTGGCTTGGGATGATAATCGTAAGTTGCACTATTTTATGTGTTTCTCAAGTTTTGCATGATGTATTGCTCACCTCCTGTCTTCGTATATTAGCAGCAGGGCAGACTATGTAAAGTACTGATCGTCAGAGGAAAAAGATGAAGCCGCTGGGTTTAAGATTATACTGCTCTTTCTTCTCATCAGATTTTTAAGGAATAACTTATGTTCGGAAATTACATACCAATTTCATTGGAGATGTGGAGACTGCAACCACTATTGTTCTGGATCAGACGGGCAGGTAGGCCAAGCTAGGAGAATGATGGCGAATCAAAGCTAAACTCCAGATTGCACGGGGCCAATTAGAAAATGCCATAGAAACATTTACACATCTGCTTGCTGTTCTCAAAGTTCTTATGACAAGCACGGAAGAATTGTCATTAGGTATATTATGAATTTTATATGTATATATGGTCTGTAATTCGGGGGCATGTTACTTTTTATGAGATTGCATTTAGCTGACAGCTCACGTCACTATCCTCAGAAGTTTAATTGGACAATTGTTTGATTAATTATTTTCTTCATTTGTTTTCTTCTCACAGAAAAGGGCAATCACGATAGGAGTATAGAAATGGAAACATGGGACTATCTAATGAATGTATAGACCTGGTCTGAGTAAGTGAAAGCTGCGAATGACTCTAAATATGCGACTAGAAGAGAAGGTTGTGAATGCAGCGGTTGATGCTATTAAGGTTTTCAAGGCAGAGATAGAATATAA